AGTAAGATGTAGTCAGTCGCCCTTTGTTGCAGCTGCTCCAGCTTGTGATGATCCCAGTATGTGGAAAAGTAACACTCAGGGTAAGTAGGGACAATGATTTGATACATATTATTTATTTAGAAAATAGCCCAAAGAAAGTACGCACACTGATTGGGTTATAATTGTCTTACTGTATCTCAATAAAAACACAGAACTAGCATGAGCAGTTGAGGTAATTATGGTGCGAGCAAAGAGAATTTACATTTTGGTGATCAAAGTGAACAAGCTGAACACAGAGAACATGTTCTCTGTGTTTCTATCAAGTTTTAGTATAAATCTACTAGCATTCTATCACGAATGCCATCCTCTGACGTTCTATTTAACAATTAGATTATGAGCTCGAGATTTCTGTGAGGTGATAGTTGATGAGGCGGAAGGCCAATTCTAAACTATCACCTCATAGAAATCGAGAGCGAATAATCTAATTGTTTTAGTAGGATTCTAACTGAAATTAGTGCAAATAACGGTTTCCAATTATTTTTCTCTGCATTATTGAACTTCAGGCTTTAACAAAATCGCACGTATTGAATTGTCCTTGGTAATTTTGCAGTTGTTTACATGCGCACCCCCGGTTTTTCAATAATTTCAAGTCAAGAAACCATCAATTTCCTTTTTTTAGTCGTCTCAGGAATTTAATTATCTATTTACATCTAAACTTTATTCCAAAACTTCGGAAAAACGTTAAAAAGTCGCATTTGGTGGAGGATCGACAGCTACTGCACTCTAATGACTGATAGTATACGAGTAGTTTAGCCAATCAGATTGCAGCATTTGCATTAGTATACTAGTAGAATTCTACTAATCTGTGATAGATAGTGAGTAGCTAGCAGTGTGTACTAGGGGCCGCTTCTTTGTGTTTTCGAAGTGTCTGTGAAGAGGATTTAGATGAAAGTTTTGAACGACTCCTAGATTTATACTAAAACAATTAGATTATTCGCTCTCGATTTCTATGCATGATAGTTGCCTCGAGCTGTGGCCTCATCAACTATCATGCAATAGAAATCTTGAGCTCTTGATGTAATAGTTTAATAGAAACACGTGAAAGTTTGAGAGAACTTGAAAAAGTTGTGGACTTAATTCCTTGATTCTGACTGATACGAGCATGCTGT